TGGATAAAGTAACCATAAATACAGGTTAAAGATATTTTTAAGACTACGTTTTAGGAGATGGGGGATGGCTCACTTCAGGAAGTGCTTGCCATGCCTGTAATCTCAATGCTAGGTCCCAAATTGAGCCATGGTAAGTATGGGACCGTGTGTTGTACTTTATAGTATAAATACACATACGTATTAGCAAGCATGGGTACTCTACTCAATACCAGAATACTAATGCTTTTGAACATACGTATATTTATTCTCAGGTGTTTCACTTCAAGTATTTGATTTGTCAATGGTTTCCTCACTTCTCTGATCTTTAAGAAAACTTACTCAAATTTTCTTTTTTTCCCTATTGGAAATTTTATTAGCAAGTCAGAGTAACAGTGGAAGAGAGTCAGAATTTGATCTTCTCTTATGATTTTATCAAATCAAGAAGTGAAAACGGTACCCAGACCCAATTTTCATAAGGGACACAATTCATGTATTTACTCATAGTACTGTTAAAATCACTCTGTAAAGTAGACATTTCTGAGATTAGGAGCTGGAGCTGTGATTGTGGCGTAAATATAAAATTTTAAGGGATACTCACTGTGAAATTCATAACAGTCTCTTAAAGCCTTCCAAGGGTTCTGAGCAATGATTTCTACTTCTTGTTGTTTGTGTTTATTTTCGTTTTCCTGGAGACTAAGTGAATTAAACCTAAGAAACATCACTGGAAACCCAGATGCTGAGTGAACACTGTGCTTTAATACCTTGGGACCTACAACTGATCTCAAGAGTATTCAACAATTCGGGAAACAAACACACAAATATGTACAGGTCCACCAATGTAACAGTGGCATGGCTGTTCCAGCAATAAAAGCCACTTTCTGATTGGATTTGAGACCAGCTTCATGGGAGGGAATGCATGCATACTGCAAACCTGGTCAAAAGCCCATGGCTAACAAGGCCATTGACCTGTTAGGAGAACTTACTAATATTTTCCTACATGGACATGTAGTTAAACTTCCTTATAAATCTTATGTTTATACCTATAGAATGGTGTAGCTGTCAGCCTTAGTTGGAGAAGTCTCTCTTAGCAGTGGGAAGTGGTCAAAGCAGAGACTTATTCCTTATCAAATGCAGAGCACAAATGACTGCTGAGCATTCATCCCTAAACATGACATCTATGTCACCAACTCTGAGGCCAAGAGACATAGTAGAATGGGGAGTGGAAAGACTGTAAGAGCTGGAGAACGGAGAAAAGTGCTATAAAATGTCATTGCCATAATTAGCATACAGCAATTGTGGCCACCTACATGAGACCTGAATACAGACACAACAAAAACACCAAAGTAGGAGGAGGACTCTCTGTAGGAAGAGGTTCAGCCATGGTGGGTGGAAATATAAAAGGTAATGGGTGGAAATGTGATTACAATACATTGTATGTAAGTAAGAAACTGAAACAATTAAGAAAAGAGGGGTGTCTGTTCTCTGTTCTCTTCTCTGAGGAGCGGTTCTCCAGTCTCTGATTCTCAGAAGGTGAAGAACAAGTCTGAAGAACTAACCAAAATGACTTAAGGCATGAGAGCTTAGGACAGACCACAAGGGTGAAGGTTCAAGTTTAGATTAAAGGACTGACAAGAACTGGTATCGTTGATGAATCAGAAAACTAAGAGAGAGTTTCACATAAGCTCAAGGGTACACAAGGACTGATGTGTGACTGGTCCTGCAATGCAGACTCTGTTTCCTATCAGGAGGCACCAAGGTTCAACATTCTCAGCATCTTTTGTGAAATGAGGGGCTAAGACTCTAGATTAGAATTCACTGAAGCTGTTATATGGAGAGGAAACTGTCACAAGCCAAACACCAATGCTAACTTCAAAAACAAATTATGATTTTTGCCAAACAACAGGTAGGTGAAGCAGTTTACTTCGCATTTTATCTTTTACTATCCCATCAGCTCTTGAAAATGGAAGTTTTAATACCAAAGTCCTACCAAAAATCATAGATACACAAATACAAAGAGGGAAAGACATCCTATGCTCATGGGTTAAAAAACGTTTGTACTAGCCGGGCGGTGGTGGCGCACGCCTTTAATCCCAGCACTCGGGAGGCAGAGCCAGGCGGATCTCTGTGAGTTCGAGGCCAGCCTGGACTACCAAGTGAGTCCCAGGAAAGGCGCAAAGCTACACAGAGAAACCCTGTCTCGAAAAACAAAAAAAAAAAAAAAAAAAACGTTTGTACTATAAATTTATGTTACACAGTTTGATCTATGGATTCAAAGAATTCCATATCAAAATTTAAATACTGTGGGCTGGAGACATGGCTCGGTGAGCATAGTGTTTGCTTTGCAAAAGTGAGGAGGACCCAAGTTTGGATCCCCAGCATTTATGTGAAAGGATTGGCATGGTGGAGAACATCTGTAATTCCAGTACAGAGATAGGCAAAGAGAGACAGATCTTAGAGGCTTGCTGGCCAGCCAATGCAGCCAAAATGATGAGCTGAATGAGAGATCCTGTCTCAAAACATAAGATGGAATGTGAAAGAGGAAGACCCCTGATGCTACTCTTGCTTCTATATGTTCCTCTGAGACCAAAGGCACATGTACACCACACATGTATTCAAAGAAAAAGAAAAATCTATATTACTTTTCACAGAAAGGAAAATTAATAATCCTATATTTTATGGAACCAAAAAAATCTTAAAAATAAGAAAGAAACAAAAGAAAGCCCAAATAATCCCATGCAAACATCACAAATCCAGAAGCCATGTTATGTTGACTTCAAAATCTTGTACAAATTTATTAGAATAAAACTATAAGGAATTAAAAAACAATACACTGATAGGGGATGGAGACATGTCTCAGTGGTTAGGACAACTTACTGCTCTTGCCCAGCACCTACATGGCAGTTCACAACTGTCTGCAAATCCAGTTACAGGAGGTAAGACACTCTCTTCTGGCCTCTGTGGGCACCCACATGTAAGTGCATGCACACACACAGGTAATAAAGTAAATCTAAAATAAATATTGACAAATGGAACATGCTAAAATAAATGCAGAAAGTTATAGTGAAATCTACATATTTATTGTTAATTGATTTTTTTGACAATGTGTCAAGAACACACAATGGGGAAAGGAAAGTCTCTTCCATTCACGGTGTTAGGAAAACTGATACTATAAGCAGATTCACAGAATTCTACCCTTGTCACACCTAGTGTAAATGATCCACCTAAAATCAGGTTGAAGACATAGAAATGTAAGATGTGAAACTGAGAAAATATTGTAAGAGAAGAGGGGAAAGTTACACAGCACTGGGTTGTGGAATTTCTTGGCTATGACCCTAAGACAAAAACAGATGGATATGGGTGTGTTTGCCTGCCCAGCAGAGAAAACAACCAACACAGTGAACGGACAACCCACACACAGAGAGAGCATTTGTAGTGTATGCAAAATATGCAAGGACCCAGTAATTTATAATAAGAAAACAAATATTACCACTTTAAAAAAATGGACCAAGATCTTTGATAGGCAGTTCTTAACACAAGCACAAAAGACTAGTATGTAAATGAAAAGGTAACCAAGAGAAAAGGAAACCATGCACTGTGAGAATGTGAATTAATCAATTAATTAATACAGTCATTTTGGAAAATAGTATAGAGGATCCTTGACAATCTAAAATAGAAATTCTATATAACCAAGACATTTCACTTCAGGATCATGTCCACAGGAACTGAGTAAATATATTGAAGATACATCTGTATTCCAAAGACTACTATTATTGGGATAGTATTCTATCTATTCCCTAATGGTTCTTGAGTTAGAGCATGAGTGTAGGGCTATTGATGTTTTGGAGATGCATGAGACGTGCTAAAAAATGAGTGCTCTCTTAGAAACTTGAGGCTCACAGGGTCTTTAAAGTCAGTTTTCTTTGTTCTCTACTACAACTTCATCCTACCAGTGGGACAGAGAACGTCAACTCTGAAGTTCATAGCAAACATGACCTCAGCTTTGCATAATGTGTCATGTCCACTTTCTCTTGTGAAATGTGCAAAATGATCAAAGATACAATTTCTTTCTCTGAGCTCTTTCTGTTCCAGAAGATCGAGAGTCATGGAAAACCGGGAAGATCACTGAATAGCCTAAAGGAAGACAGTGTCCCAAGAAGCTGATGGCATTGGCTTTATAACATCCTTAATTTATAGCATTGAGAGTTTCTGAAATACATTGCCTCTGATATTTACCTTTAGCTAAAAATCATGCCAATGTTATTTTCCTTGTCTGTCTCAACACAGTCACCGATTTTAATAACACAGTGGATGTTTTCCATTATCCATTTAAATTTATCTTTTTTTAAGGATAAAAGATAATGATTTTTATTGTTCATTGACAAAGTTTTCCAAGTTACATTTGCTCCAAATTTTATAATTGTGTTTAACATTGGTAATACATTTATATTTCCTTTTGCTATTACAAGACTTTGAAAGTATTTAATTCTATCTAACTTTGTGAGGTCACAATCTTAAACCTAGAGGGAAGCTTTGTTTATTTCAAGTGAGTGACTACTTAAGTTTATTTCAAACCCAAAATCTCAGCGTATCTTATCACTAGACACTTTGATGTTAGTCAACATTCTAATCCTTCTGTTTGCTTAGCTTTAGGATTCCTCAATATGAATAATCAGGGAGTGGCTTTGAGGCATGTTCAGAAGCCTCACAGGATTCCTAAACTGTGAGAAATTGTGCGAAACCAAGGGAGCAAGAGCTTATATATTCCCAGCAACCTGAAGTCATTCACATATAAGAGAACATCTCCTCCATGGTACTTTAAAGGCAGCCAGTGCCTCTATTTTCCTTTGTCTAATTGTGTTGTGACCTTTTGACCTTTTCAAGAAGACAAATAACTATTAGTTTATACAATTCACATTGACTAAAGGTACTGTTATTAACTTACCAGAGGTTCAGCATTTCATTCTAATCTACACAATTGGTGCAGCGCTGGTTGGAGTTGCATCTGAAATCAGCACCCCAGAATGGGTAGAAAGCAGCAGCAGTACACCATGAATGTTGAGCAGAGTTCGGGGGAGCAGGTAAGTACTGCAGGTAACTCTTAATAGCTCTCCTGTCTAAGATTCTTGGTTTCAACATCTAATCTTGAGGGGGCTTTTGAACTCTACATTTGCAGAGTCAATCTGGTTGCCATTATCATGAATTTGTTCAGTATGCCAGACTGTGTTTTTATATTCCCGAGAATCTGGGAGTTAGGCGTGGTGCTGTATTTTAGAATTTATATCAAAACATATGAAAAATGAAAAGCAAAAACAGAAAAACACAAAAAAACAAAAACAACTTTGTTAGATGATTGGAAGGGTCATCTTAATAGCAAATATTGAAGCATTTTTTTCATTTTTATACATATTAGTCTATTGAAAGTACTTATTGTTGATCTTTTTCCACCTAAATGTTGTCTACTTATAGTGAAAGTAACAATTACAGAAAATGTCTCATGGAGTGGGAAACTTGGTTGAAAATATATTATTACTCTACTATTCTGCAAATCAACTTTTCTTAGACTCATGAAAACAAATCTGAATGGTGTCATTCCATACTCAAACTAATGCCTTCACTTTACAAATGGAGAAGTTGAAATGTTTATCACTACATGAAGCTATTCAGAGTTAGAAAATGAATTCTTTTTCTAACATATACTTCTTTATAAAAAAAAAATCAAACTACTTTTAAGTTCAACATCTGTGTCCCTGACACAAGGAAATGACTTTAATCAACTAGAATTTGTATACAAAATAACAGCAAAGTTAGACTTTTCTTGAAAATTGTTTTGTAAATTGATGTTGCAGAGGAGAGCAGTTTAGTTTTCAAAACTAGACTATCATAAACTTAATTTATATTTTCCCCAGATTCCAAGAATGATGCATGACACTATGGCTTCAACCTCGAATGTTAAGAGTTTGGTTACGTCCCCATATGCTGCTGAATATGATTTATAGTTTTTGCTCACAGTCACAATGAAAATCTTGATGCAGTTCCCTCCATTATGTAATGTATTTAGTCATGCCAAGTAAACAATAAGACAAACTTCCATGATGACAAAAACGAAAGAAAGAGAGAAAGAGAGAAAGAAAGAAGGAAAGAAAGAAAGAAGGAAAGAAGGAAAGAAAGAAAGAAAGAAAGAAAGAAAGAAGGAAAGAAGGAAAGAAGGAAAAAAGGGAGGAAGGAAGGAAGGAAGGGAGGAAGGAAGGAAGGAAGGAAGGAAGGAAGGGAGAGATTAGAATTTACCATATTTTCAGCACTCTGAGGTTTCAGGTAGCCTGAACCCTCTTGTGGTGCTTAAACTTGAGACAAGGGAGTCCTGTTTTAGACAATTATGTATTGTTTATCTTGGGTACCTTACCTACCTAAAGTTTCTGCTGTTTTAATTTCAAATTTAATTTAATCTAATCCTTCTAGTTTATTTTATCACATGGAATTATTAACAAACAACTAAAGAATTTCCTTCAAAAATTGTAATTTTATTGGCCATATATTAATGAATAAATATTAATTATATTTACTACTGAAACTTTTTCTAAAGGACACTTATTAAAGTTGCCCATTTTTCCTCAATAAAGACTTACAGTTTTCTTTGTGTGAATTCGCTCACATTTTATATACTTCATTACTACTATGAATAGTACACATGTACCTACCACCAAAAAAGCAAAGACTCTTATGTATATTTCTTTATACATTTACAACCAATGAACGAAGCGAGTTGTTATTTTAATAGATTATATGGTTGATTATTTAAGATTCTGATAACAGACCATCCTGCAAATGTTGGCAGTTTTGTCTTTCCTTTTTCTTTATTCGTATGTATTCAGTAGAACTTTCAGGAAAACATTATCCACTTCTCCTTCCTGTAATGGGACGGCTCTCAGGTTTTGCTGTTAAAGCATACTGGTCATTATTTTGAGGTAAATATTTCCTGTCACATTTAGGAACTATTCCTTTCAATTTTAGTTCATGTAGAGTAATCTTCCTTGTCTCCTTTTGTCAGGACAGGATGTTTACATTTGGTCAATGGTACTGGGACATCTATTGATACAATCAACCTAGTTTCCTTCTTTGATCATCTGGTGTGAAATGCACACACATCTGTGTCATATCACTAAGCCATCATGACACCCTTAGAATTTACCTAGTTCTTCCCTCATGTCACATTATTTTCATATTATTTTGTGTTTGTTTTTATGTATATTTATGTTCCCAGATCACATAAACTTTCCTCATTCTTAAAGTTTAAGACTTGCTGTCTATCTGATTATTTATTGACTTTCTGTCTCTTTCTGTATAGCTATTAAGAAATCCGTACTGTTCAACTGAAGGAACACACTGTGGCTGTAGATCACACCATGTGACTTGTGAGCTGCATCCGGTAAGGTCTGAGGAAGGTGGCTAGAAGTATCTATTGTTCCTAAGAATAACATGAAATAGGACAGTCAAGCCCTTCTCTAGCACTTCTCTGAGGTTACTGGGACATAAGGTCTCCTACAAAGTGATAGCACTAGATTGTGTGTCTTTAAGGTCCTATAGATCAAAGTCAATTTACTCTCTCTGTTTGTATATTTCAGTGAGATCCCTTGTATTTATGCCTGACATGTAAAATATATTTAATAAGTAATTTTAATTACAATAGTTAATATTTAATGTGAAAATTTAGAACAATGAACAATGAGCAAAAATAAACAAAAAACCCCCTTGAATTTTCCACCCTCCAAGGACAACTATCTCCGTGTGTCTTTATTTTTATACTTGTCACTACCAATTAGAAAACGTTGTCTACTTTGAGAAGTGTGTCCCTGATAATATCATGATGATTTCTAAGTCAAGCTATTTAATATTAAAACTTATTGCTGTAATACAAAAGGGATCACTGAGGGATTTTATTGTCCTCACAGGATTGTAGGCATGGTGTGTGTGTGTGTGTGTGTGTGTGTGTGTGTGTGTGTGTGTGTGTGCATGTGCTGGGGGATTTGTGGTTTCATAATAGTCTTTAGAATAATGAAATACGTTAGTCTTACTCTAGTTGAAATCTGTTACCTGTTACTATTTTGTAACTGCAGAAATAACCACTCTCGTAATGCTTTTCAGGTTCCAGAAAACCCATGTTCACTCTGGAAAATATTTCTAATGTGTCTGTTGGCTTGTCTAGTTGCCACAGCTATTACAGCTCTGGCCTTTTATTTTGGCCCCTTTGGCAACCCCAACAATACCACCATCGTCATTCACACAGATGGAGGGTCCCGTCAGGATCCCTGCACCTCTGCTCCTACAACGTCTCTGACCTCAACACCTCCACCTGGACCTGAGACCACTCCATCTTCTACTCTAACTACTTCAGGTTCACCTACCAGCCCAACCACACCTACTACAGTGATGACTAATACCACCATAGAACATGAAGTTGACATTGAATATGATGTGGCAGTGTGAAATCTCAACCCTCAAGCCAGATCAATTTCCTCACTGAAAGGGGACATAGTCAAGATTCTGAACCCTGCCATGACCTCTCAAAGTACATGGCTTTGTTAGATCCAGTTCTCTACTAATCTATGCTGCTTTTCATGTGGTGATAGTCTTGTACTGATTGTATAATACCTGAGATAGATAGGACGTCAGTAATTACTACCATCTTTTAGAAGTTCTCTCATTCTGAGACTTTTACCATGTCAGGAACAATGAAAAAGGACTTAGACTAGGACATTTGGGTAAGAGTTGGCTAGATGGTCACTGCCTTCCTCTCTTGCATGATATAGAACTGTTGTTCTACAGAAGAGAACATTTTTTATTTTTTCTGAATTTGTGTCACTCCTTGGCATGCTGGTCATGCAAGGAAAAAGCCAGCTAAGGTCATCATGTTAGTGCTTATAAATTCTTACTTTCCAACTTCTCTCCTTGAGACAGTTAGGCGTGGCAAAGGAGTTTCCTGGAGGGGACAGGGGATCTAGGTCTACCTAGTGGCCCTGGATGTCCAGGGACGGTAACATCAAGTAGAGGACATGTATTGTTAGGTATTATGAAAGACAGAGGTGCTGTTTGTCTGACCTGTAGCATTGAGTCTTAGGAGTTTTGTTGAAGTGTTCTCTGCCTGACTTTTTGTTGCTCTCGCTTCCCTATTTGCAAGTTTCAATAAACCTTAACTTTTGCATGCCATCTCTGAATGTTATCTTTGATGTCTCAGCAACCTAGCCCACTGTCTTAGCATATCTTGGCTGTGAATGATGCACTCACTATGTTAAGTGATTGGAAAAACAAAATTTCAGAAAAACAAAACTTCAGTAGACTCCGAGTGACTAACGTAGGCTAATACAAAGAATGTTTCATTATCTCTTTTGTACTATCAACCTTTTTGGCATTATTTTTATTAATGTTTTTGAGAATTTAATACAATGTATTTTGAACAGATTCTTCATCTCCAAACTCTTCCAAGAACGACCCTTTCCATCCTCCCATCCCTTCTGAACCAACTTTCAGGTTATTTCTTTTTTATTTTTTTTTCTTCTTTCCTCATTGAGCCTGGCTTGTGATAGTCTTGGAATTGGGGCTTGCCCTGGAATAGGGTCATTCTACCAGAGTTACATCATTAAAGAAAGTTGATTCTTCATCTCCCAGAAGCTGTCAAATGCCAGTAGCTATTTGACCGGTGATGGTACTTCCTATATGCCTTCTCCTGCTTATGCTGAACTGTTTTGTGAGGCTGGAGTTCATAAAGGTGGTTTGCATGCTGTCACCTTAGTTACTGTGAGACTGCTCTATTGTGTATTGGAAACAGTGTTTTTTTTTGAAGTTACCAACCATGTCTGGCTCTTAGAAGCTTTCTGTCTGCTCTTGCACAAAGATCCCTGAACCTTGGGCAGATGGGTGTGAGATGAATGTCCCATTTAGGGTTGAGAGCACTCCACAGTCTTTGACCAGTTGAGGGGGTAGATCTGTGTTAATTGACATCTATTGCAAGAAGACACTTGGATGAAAGTTAAGAGATGCACTAATCTATGGGTATAAAGATAAGAATTAAGGGGACAGTTAATTACTGTGGCAATTTAGTAGAATAATATTATTAGCCCCAGCCCCACCCCTGGAGCCTATGACCTAGGAAGCCATGGGTTTGGGCCCAGTTAATGGCACTGAGTACAATTTCTTTTTTTTTTTTTTCCACAATTACTATCTTACAGAGCAGCACTTAGATCTAATCAGAAAATAGTTGGTTACTCCCATAGCATTTATACTATCTTGCACAGGTGGGCATAGCTTGACAAGCCAGTTGCTCTTGCTTGCAGGGTTCACAAGTGAGATTGAGGCACATTTTTTTTCTTCTCCAAAAGTATGCACAGCAACTTATAGAACCATGAACACTATCTAGCAGAGATATACTGCAATAAGAACTCCAACAGGACTAGAGGCTGCTGCATGGACCCTGCTCAATTCCTGCCTGCTAATTCTCTAGCCACTATCTACCATCTAGCCACTGGAATTCCTTCCTAGTCTCTCGTGTTTGACTTTTTTTTTTTTTAGCATTCCCATGCCACTAGTGAGAGGAACAGCTCAGCTGTTCATTAAAGTGACTTTTAAAAATTAATAAATACCCAATGATCTGTACCGAAAGGATCTTCATATTGGGGAATTCAGAAAAACTAACAATCAATGAGAAATAAACAATGAACATTTCAGTTAAAGATTGGATGTAGAACAAAGGTGAATAAATATCTGCATTAGAACAGAAAATGAGAATACAAGGGATAAAATAAAATTAAAAGCAAAGGCGCACTGAGCAAGACTTCAGATGGAGACAAGGGATATATTTACATGCACTTACACCATACTTTCTAGTGAGCACTCTTGATATCATCCTCAAGTTTCATATGTTGCTTGATCTCTACAGCTATTTTAGGGACCTACCTAGAAAAATTTGAACCATTAAGTTGCTCTGTGCTTCCACATTGTTTAACGTTTGTTCAATGGTACCCATGTTCTGAGTGACTAATACTTGAAGCATAAGAAAATAATTCATGTGATAAAGAAAGCTGCCTCCCTACCCTCTGATTGCTAACCCTACAAAACCAGGCTGAATTGACACTGAATGCTGTTAGCCAAAGATGCAGATTACAAATAAAAAATGGGTGAGTTCCATATAATTCTAGATTTGTTTGCTGAAAAGATAGGCCAGTTAATTTAGAGTAGACTTTAGAATCTTGTAGAGAAAAAGGTTTGCAAAAGTAGTTGATATGCTATCATTCCTTCAATTTTGTTAACTATAGGCTACTTTTATTACTTCTCAGGGTAAACATAAAAGCCAAGTCTTTGAAGAATTATTGTATGTACTACATAATTACTTTCTGGTATAATATAAGAATGAAGAGAGATATATGAATTGAAAACTCTTAACTTGTACTCTATGTAAGAGTTTAAAAAATGTAAGGAAATAATTATACATGCCATTTTCTTCAGAATGGTTTTAAGAATTTATTTCTGTTGTACATTGATATAGGAAAGTTTAATTTTGCTAGGTTGGAGTGTATTTCTATGTATAGTTTAAAATTTGCTTTGTGATATGATAAAGATACCTTTAGGTTTTAAATGCATTGCCAATAAAAGATAATACAAAATGTTCTGTATTCTCCAAGGTACTTTGAGTAATATGAAGCTGTGATGAGATTTCTATCATGTGCTTAATATTGATTCAGGTTGCCGCAATATGGAAGCTTGCCTTCTTAGGGCAGAAGTAACATCATGGCTGGAAAACTAACTTTCTGGGTTAAATATTGTCATGGAGGGGATTCTGATTCAGATTATCTGAAATGATCAGGTTTCTGTGCTTATAAAAAAGGAGATTGGAATGGATTCTTGATTTTTTTTGTTTTAGGTTTTAATGATTTAATAAACTATTAACTAGTCCACAGAGTTGTGGGTATTACCTTTATGTGTTAAAGTATCTAACTTGACAACATTTTTAAAATGTTAGACACTACTGGATGAGGAGTGCACATTTAGTAGGCAAGTAATTTAGCATATCTACAACCTTATCTAAAGCTTGGCTGGTTTCAATGATTAACTCAACACATACTATAGCCATCATACTTTCTGGTATTTATCACTTCAACACTTACCCACTGATCTCTAGTGGCAGCAATGCATTTAAAATTATTTACACAAATGTTCACTATTTAAACAGCTGACAACTTTTTATAATTTTCTGTTTATGTCTATTTGTGTGCATTTTCTTCTACATATTACTTTTGTGCAAATCAGACAAGATGAATTTTCAATGTCTGTGAAAGACCTCAAAGCATAAAACAAACTAAATAAACACGTTAAATAAATACATGGTATAACAACAGAGAGAAGAAGCTAAAATCATTCTGGAAACTATGTCATGTCTTTTCTGTGAGCACACATCTACTTTGAAGTTTAATTTGATTTGTCAGAACATTATGTGCACAGGTTCTGTGATATCAGGTGTATTTGTGGCTAGATTTGTGTCTGACCTAGATAGAGTCTAGGAATAAATGGAACAAGAAACTACAAATTATTGCTTCCAAATTCCTGACTCAAAGACACTTCTGTCAGTCTGTAATGTAAAGTTTATCATAATTGAAAATTGATCCTGAACAAAGCAAGCTACCTACTCCATAGAGCAAATCCTCCCCAAATTTGCATACAATTCTATTATTTTTCGTTTCCAGAAATTAGTCATATGACCATGTTCGGTTGCCATAAAAGGGCTAAGAGCATGTATGGATGTCTCTGTCTACCAATATGGGTTGTATTTATGTAGAAAACAAGGACAATGAATATTGGGGACAACCAAGAGTCTGACAGTAATTAAATTAGGACATTAAGAAGAATATGCAAGCATTTTTCTCTGTCTCTAATCTCTTTATGATCCCCAGGTTTTATTTATAATTCTTGAATAAACATCTGACAGTTACAAAATTATGAGGATGTATAATAATCATGAGTCATTTACAGTGATAGGATGAGCTGACTTTAGGTGGCAACCTCACTGACTGAGGATTCATGTCTCCAGGAAGCTCACCTTCACTGGTGACCAACAACAGTCCCTCCCTGAAGGTGTGGCTCATGCCTTCCAACCTTTGTACAACCCCAAGGAGCCCAGCCCTGTGCTGGCAAGAAGAACAAAGCACATGTGTTGTACAGATGTGTACACACTGACAATATCACAAAGACATCACGCAGCTAGAAGAGCCTTATGAATTGTCCAATCCAAGCTCTCCACCTAAAAAGGGACTGGAGCTGGAACAGTCTTTGGAGGGCTGTGGGGCATGAAGGAATAGTGCAAAATACTTAATCCTTTTACCTTGTGGATGTCATTGATGCATTGGTGCCTAAAGCTGAGATTATAACTAAAATTATGGGACTCTGCTCCAGCATGAAACAATTTCTGATTAACATTTGACTGTTTGCTTATATTTATGGATGTGTTCAAGTCACTTTTTATTGGTTCTATTTATTTGATGAATTATATTTCCAAATGGAAGAAGTAAAATGAAGTTCTCTAGTAACATTTTTCTCTTGATATTTTTTCCGTCATATCTTTAATTTTACCTTTCACTGCCACTGAGATTTATTTTTTCTTCTTTCAAGTCTCATTGAAGACTAGTATAGGAGTTAAGATGTTCAAACTTGACAACTAAGCAGCCACTATTTGAATTATAGCATTCTCAGTTACTATGTGATCTTGGGAATTGTAGATCACGCTTCTAGACCTCCATTTCTCACCTAGAAAGAGAGGATAAAACACTATATATTTTGTAGGGCTACTGTGCATATAAGTGAACTAATACATGTAAAGCACATGGAACAGTAGCCTGGCACATGACAGCCGTTAAGTAGATGTTAACCCGTGCTGTCAATCAATCTGAGATAAAGGTGAAATCCTTAAATCACGAATGGGTTTTCCATTGTCACCTGGTCCAGTTGTTACCATTTCTCCTCTTTCAATTAGAAGTTGATAAATAATGAGAAAATTCAACTGATAATGCTATCCAATTAAAAAAAAACTTTCATGAGAGAATTGAAATGTAGGGAAGCTTTATTCATGAATTGCTCAAGGCTCTACACAGGTTAGAACCTGGTGGAATAACAAGTAACACGTATTCAGAAAATCCTGGAAGCGATTTGAGATTAAAAGACCTACCTCCTGTCATGCAAGAACAACACAGAATATGCTGTTCAATGGCTAAACCAC